GCCCATGATGGCAAGAAGGGCCAAGAGTCACCTTTGGCTCCAGATCCAAATTTCTGGCTGGGTGGGATCCAGGGTTTTGGCTCAGCTTGTTGGAGAGATGCGAGCGTCTGCAAAACCTGGATCTGGAGCCCCAGCCCCCACCGCAGCAGCACCACCTGGGCACGGGACCCCAGCACGGGGCCTGATCCTGCCCTTGAGCGTGGGCAGAGCCGGGGAAACACACCCCAGCACAGCCACCAGCCACCCACACAGGCTCTGTATCCCACAGATCCCGGAACGTCTCTGCCTCCGAGCTACCGATGGGGAGGCTGAAGGAAGAGACCCCCAAGGACCCTCAGCCTGAGCTGCCCAACACCTTCCACTCCTCCGGTGCCTTGGGGATAAGAGGCTGGCCCAACAGGAGGGCTGAGGGGGCTGGGGGCTGCTCCTGCAAGCCCACGTGGCACAAGCCTTGGCACTCAGGAGGGAGATTTGGGCACCAAGCTCAGCATCCGGGCTTGGAAGGGGGACACCATGGTTTTGTCACCCTGTTCTCCGCAGCAGGGATGCCTGGAGCTGGTCCTGGTGCCCAGGCTCAGTGGGGTGACAACACCCAGGGCAGCCCCAAATTCAGCTCACACCAACACCTTCCCACGTCAGTGCTCCCATCRCCCCCACAGCCAAGAGGGGCCCCTCCAGGCTCGGATGCTCCACGGTCACTTTGATGGCTATTTTTGCATTCCCAGCCCTGCCGGCGCTGTAATAATGCTTTAAAGGGCTGACATGCTTCTTCCAGCCATGCCCATCTCCCAGTGGCTTCCCCCTGCTCCATCCCTGCACAGAGTCCTCGAGGGCTGGGAGCCAATGGATGCATGCAGGGGGAAAAATGGGAACACAGGGGYGAAAAAYTGAGAGAGACAAAAAATTACATCARTTTCCCAAAGGAGAATCGGCGCTGCTGACCGGATCCTGCTCCGAATTACACCAAGGGAGGCTGCCTGCTCCCAGCCCGGATTCCCTCGGGGACAGCCAACACCCACCAGCAGGGCTCTGTCCCCGCTTCCTGGCCAGGGGAACAGGCAGGGATCGGCCGTGGGCAGCTCTGGACCCCACGAGGGAGCTGACATGCAGGGCTGGATGTCACAGGATGGAGGGGGACCAGCGGTCCCAGCGCCGACTTGCTCCGCAGGTTCGGCACAGGCTGGAGGGACCAGACCGGCTCCTCTAACAAAGCCCAGCCGTCCGGGGGAACGAAGCGGCGGGAGGAGGGAGCGCCCARAGCCGGGGCCCCGAAGCTCCGCTTGCATGCCATGGGTTGGACCATGGCGCCTGGATGGATGCACGGTGACGGGCAGAGCTCGGCACAGCTCCCGGCACCCGGCCGGGCATGGCCCGAGCACCCAGCGCCGCCCCCCCGGCAGGGTGGGGAGGGGGAGCCCACCGGGCTGGGGAAGGGTCTTCAGCCTGCCCCGAGCCCTCCGCAGCGGGAGAACGCAGGATGGATGGCGTCGCCATCCGGTAGAGGCTGGAGGGGCTGCAAGCTGCGCCCYCCTCCCCAAAGCCTCGGGCAGCAGGAGATGGGGATGCCCGCCCGCACCCCTTCTCCCGCACCCACCGGGGAATCCTGGCGGAGCTGAGCACCACGGTACCGGTGAGACGCCCCCRGCCATCCTCCGCCTGCCTCTTGCACCATTTCCCCCGTTCACCCGCTCGGCGGGGCTGCATGGGGCCGCAGGTGACACGTCCCGTTCCCGCGGGGCCGGTTCCGCACGGCTCCGGCGCCCCGTTGGGGACAGCCCCCCTCCCGCACTGAGCACCGCGGACCCCCGGGACCGTTCCCCCACCCCCCCGGTGGGCACCGCGGCCCCCGGGGACCGGCCAGGCCGGCACTGTGCTCTGGGCACGGCGGTACCCCCGGGACCGGGGCCGCCCCCGCCGCTCTTACCCCACTCCCGCCTCCTACATCCTCCGGCGGCTCCCGGGCGGTTCCCCGACGGCCCGGCGCGGCCGCCCCCGGCCCGGCTGCTCCCTGCCCGGCTCGGTTGGGCTCGGCTGGTCCCGGCTCGGCCCGGGCCGGCGCCCCGCGCGTGGGAGCGCGGCGGGCGGCAGCATGCGAGTGGCGGCGGCCCCGCAGTGCAGCGCGGGCGGGCGCGGAGCGGCGGGAGCGGAGCGGGGCCGCCGCGGCGCCGCCAAGACACGGCGGTGGATTTTCCCCGGGAGCCAGAGCGGGCGGCGGCGGCGCAAAATGGCTCCGGTGCGGCTCTGCCGCCGCCTCCCGGCGCCCCGGGACCCCTGGGCGGGGGGAGCGGGGGGGCAGCCGCACGTGGGACCGGGGAGATGCTGCCGGCCGGGCACAAGGGGTGGGCTCTGCCCCGCGGAGAGAGGCTGGCACCGGGATGGATGGTACCCACCCGTGGGCMTCCCCTGAGACACCCTGCGGAGCCGGACTGGCGCCGAGACAAGGGGTASCCACCCGTGGGCACCCCCCTGGGTCACCCCGGGAAGCCGAGGGCACCCCGGGACCTTCACCCACCCTGTCCAGGGCACGCTGCCTGCCAGAGAGGGGACAGAGCACAGGGACGGTCACGGGGTGCTGGGGTAGCCCTGGGGTGCCAAGATAGCCCTGGGATGTCGGGATAGTCCCTGAGCGCCAGAACAGCCACAGGGTGTCAAGATAGCCCTGGGGTGCCAAGTTAGCCCTGGAGTGCCAGAATAGCCCTGGGGTGCCAGGACAGCCCTGGGGTGTCGGGACAGCCCTGGGGTGTCGGGATAGTCCCTGAGTGCCAGAACAGCCACAGGGTGCCAAGATAGCCCTGGAATGCCAGAACAGCCTTGGGGTGCCAAGATAGCCCTGGGGTGCCAAGATAGCCCTGGGGTGCCAAGACAGCCCTCGGGCACCAGGACAGCCCCAGGGTGGGCAGGGTGCAGCCCCTGAAGCCCAGCCTCCTCCCGACAGAGCAGGGGCCACCCGCTGCCGCCTGCCCGTTGAACCCTCACACCACACCCTCTAATTTGATCATAATTATAATAATAGTAATTACAGGGTGCGCGGGCTGCAAGTGCAGGAACAATAAGCTGGGTAACACCCTGCAAGGTGGCGGGAGCAGCACGGTGGCACATGCCCCACGCCGGTGCCAAGCTGAGCCCAGAACACCCTCCACGCCGCGTGGGAGGCCCTGCCCAAACGCGTGGGTGKACATGGCCCAGGCAAGTGCCCTGCGTGTGTTTTTAAGCACCCATTTCCATGTCCCAGTGCCGTGGTTCTTAGCCAGGACAAGTCCCCAGGCTTTCCCACTGAACAGGACACCCTGGCAGAGCCAGAGCCAGAGCCAGATCTGGGGCTGCCCCCAGTCTTGGTGTKCAGAGAGCACCCCAAAAGTCCTGGTGGCCCCGGGAAGGGATCCCCTAACCCAGACCCCACCAGGCCCTGCAGCATCCTGCATTGCCAACAGAGCTGATCTTGCTGCAAGCAGGGAGCAGTGCTCTGCCCCCTCCTTCAGCAGTTATATAAAAGGATTAAAATTTAATATGAACTTCAAAAGGGGAAGAACTGGGTGGTCGAAGGCAGCTGGCCCGGGGCCGGGTGCAGAGCAGAGGCACCTTGGGACATGTCCCAGCTCTGTTGAGCAGCAGCACTGCGGCACATGGAGACACCACCCAGCCCCATCCGTGGGGCCAGAGCAAAGTGTCCAAGCACTGAGGGCAGCACGGGCACCCCACGAGCCCACACTGGCCTTACTGACCCATGTCTGCCCGGGTCACAGTGGTGCACAATTTCCATGGCACATTGGGACCCCATTGTCCAGGGTCAGGCCTTTCCCCGCACCTCCACCTGTCTGCTGGCAGCCAGGCAGCCCTTATTAACACACCATCCACGGGCTTAGCATCACCCACCCACCCTGGTGCCCATTGCCACTCTGCCAGTCCCACGCCAGGGAGCACATGTCCTGCCCAGTGCCTCACGTTTCCGTGGGTCAGAGYGTGCTGGAGAGCAGCCCTGTGCTCGCAGAGCAAGACCCCCAGTTCGGGGGCAGCTGATGCCCCCCTGCTCCCCACCACCCCCAGAAGCAGCGGGRCTGCAGAGCACCCACTCTCCCGCCGGTGCAGCGCCGGGAGCGGGGCTGTGCTGGCAGCAGGAATGAGCCGGTGCTGGGAAAACACCATCTTCCGCCCACACAGCCGCCCACGGCACCGCGCCCGCTCCGCCGCCCCCGCCGCGCCGGGGCTCACGGGGAGGGGGTGGCAGGCGCGGGGTGGGGGCTGCGCCCAACTCGGCCGCCCACCCGTGGGCAGGGCAGGGGATGGGGCAGGAGGGTGCGGGTTCAGCAGCCCCTGGTGCAAGGGCCGCCCTGGGGCAGGGTCCTGCCGCAGGAATGGGGCTGGGCTAGGGGGCCAGGGCTGCGGGAGCCGGGGCTGCCCCACATCCAGCCCTCCCCGGGGCACAGGAGCTGCTCCCACCCTCCAGCGAAGAGATTGGGGAAGACTTTGGCATATYCGTTTTTAATCCTGGCCGAGAGCAGGAGGGATGCAGGCATGAGGCTTGGGGACACCACAGGATGGGATTGGCCACRGGGACACACACAGCCCCCTGAGCAGTCCAGCTCATGCCATGGGGGTGTTTGATCATGCATGTCCCTGCAGGATGGARAACCCCGGGAAACAGCAGCAGCCATGGAGCATCCCTCTCCATTCTGCCTTCCCCCACCCTGCTATGGCTCAGCTCCCACTGCTGGGCGAGTCCCTCTCCCAGTGCCAGTGCCACTTTCCCAGTGCCAGTGCCGCTTTCCCAGTGCCAGTGCCGCTCTCCCAGTGCCAGTGCCGCCCTCCCAGTGCCTGCAATGCGGGGGGCAGGATCTGTGCTTGAGCAAGAGTTGTGGGTGCGTGGGAATGCACAGAGAGCAGAGCAGGGTGGGAGGAGGGGGRTGCACCGAGCCAGAGCTGCTCCCCATCCCTCACCTGGCAACAGGGAGCCACATCCCACAGGACTGTGGCACCGGGGCAGCCGGGGGCAGAACCCTGGTGCCCACCCCGCTAAGAGGAGGTGAAGGAGGATGCTCGGGCACCACGCACTGGCCCAGGGGGGTCCGGTGGAGGCAGCGGGAAGCACCGGCCAATCTTGCGCAGGGTCCGTCCCAGGTCAGCGCGGAAGCGCCGGATGGAGAAGCAGTAGATGAGTGGGTCCAGGCAGCTGTTGAGGCTGAGCAGGGCCACGCTCAGCGTGTGCAGCACATCCAGAGTGTCGGGGGGCCCGCAGAGCGGWGCGGGGGGCCGGCTGCCCACCCAGGGGGCCAGCGTCAGGTGGTAGGGGGCCACGCAGACCACGAAGACCAGCAGCATGCCCAGCACCATGGCACGGGCCTGCTGCCGGTGGGAGCCCGAAGAGGCCGTGGCTGGCACCGAGAGCGCCCGGGCGATGGARGCGTAGGTGCCCAGCACCACCAGGAAGGCGGCGGAGAAGAAGCCCACCATGGCGTAGGCGTAGCCCCGCTGCCGCCCGTGCTGCTCGAAGCAGGCGGTGGTCCCGGCGAGGGTGGGGAAGGTCTGGCGGGTGGCCAGGGTGGGCACGGCACAGCCCAGCCCCAGCAGCCAGGCCAGGGCACAGGCCAGCGTGGCACCACGGGGCCCCGTCAGCGGCAGCGCCCGCCGTGCCGCCCGCACCGCGCAGAACCGGTTGAAGCTGATGAGCACCATGAAGGTGATGGCGCTGTAGGTGGCCAGGTAGTAGGCGGCCCCAGCCAGGCGACAGGCGGCCTCCGAGAGTAGCCAGTCCCCCCCGGCCAGGTAGTAGTGGATCCAGAGGGGCAGCGTGAGGTTGAAGAGGATGTCGGCCAGCGTCAGGTTGATGAGGTAGATGCGGATGGCTTTCCTCACCTTGCCGCTCTGCAGGAAGACCAGCAATGCCACCAGGTTGCCTGGCAGCCCCACACACAGCACCAGGCAGTAGATGATGGGCACCAGCACGAATTGCACTGGGTTGCTGGGCACGCACTCGCCGGGGTGTTCCACTGGGAATGATCCCAGCACCGARCCGTTCATCCCGGGCTCCTGCAAAGATGGGGAACAGTCAGCAGCACAGCCCTCAGGGACAGGGGTGGGAGGCTGACCTGAACAGGACAATCTCTGGCTGGCTCCTATAAGTGCTGGGCGCTGGAGGCAGAGCCCCCAGGGGATGCCATCGTCTGCCAGAAGGGCTCAGCTCTCACAAGAGATGAGGAGACCCCAGCAGTGTCCCCCCAYGCCACAAGGGATCCCAGAGGCCACTGTCAACTGCCCAGCCAGAGCTCCCAGAGAGCGGCAGGCGCAGCTGCGGCGCAGCTGAGGGACAGAGCTGTGGCTGGAGGAACTTGAGGGTGCCACACTGGCTCCAGCCAGCAGCTGCGGGGCTTAACACCTCCCATGCAGTGCGTGCCTGTGGGGCCACCCATCCCAGCCCTCTCCCAGCACCCCAAATTCCCCATGGAGCCAGGTATGGGGAAGTCACCCACTGGCTCAGTGAGCTCTGGAATGAAAAATGGTATGGATGGGGGGTAAAAGCTGGGGGCCAACATCCCCCCTGCTCCCCAGTCCTGCACAGGCAGGTTTGCCTCTGGTCCTGGCCGTGGAAAACCACGTCGTGCTGCAGTGGCTGTATCCAGGGCTGCAGTTACTTCACCTCCCATCACTGCCTGCCCACACCTCGCCAACGAAGGCATTGAGTCACCAGCCGGTGTTTTCCAGCACGGCAGGGCTTGCTTCGGCACACGCAGCACCCARCCCCGGGCTGAGACATGGAGAGCACGAGCTGCTGAGGCTGGGTGACCTCAGCTGGACCCCAAAGGAGCCTCTAGATCCCTCAAAGGTCCCCTTCTCCTCCTCCTTCCCCATTGTTAGCATAGYAAATGCTCCATCTCACCCTCGCCGCGATTGTTTCTTACCTTGCCGGGTCGGGCTGGAGTGACTGCGTTCCTGCTGGCTGCTCCTCACTCTGATCCAGCCAGGCTGGGGATGGCTTTAAGGGGAGRCAGGGGCTGCCTGACCCCTCCCTGGCACCATCCCAAGGCCCCTGTGTATTAATGCCTGTGGGACAGCAGCTGGAGTGGGGAGAGCACCTGTGTGTGTATGTAACGGGGGATTCCCTGCTGGAGCCACCCTAAGATCCCCAGTGCCGGCTGACGGGACTGGGGGTGTGTGGGAGTGGCCAGTACTGGCCCGGCTGACCCCTCTGCGTGCCCCCAGCACATCCAATAACATTTCCCAGGTCCYTTCTCCCACCCACGCCTGGATGAAAGCAGCGGAGGGTCAAGTTTCTGCACCCGGCAGCTGGGGAAAAGAGGGATGCCCCAAAGGGATCAAAGCAGGAATCTGCCTTCTCCTGGCTCTTTGTGCTTTTGTTGGCTTCAAAGCTGGTTTTAGGGGGAGCAGCCCTACAGGYCCTCCCAGGCTCTGTGAGCATCTGAATTGCTGCTTTGTGTGGCCCYGCAATTTGTGGGTGTTCCTTTGGGACACCAAAACTGTCACCCCAAGGTAGTTCAGGTCCCTCCGGAAGTACAGGGGTGTCATACACCCCTTGCTCATCCCAGACTCCCCACACAGCCATCCCAGCCCCCYTTCTGGGTTCAGATGAACCATGGTGTGTGCTGTGCCCATCTGGGGTGGCAGAGCAAAATCCACTAAAAGCACCTGTCTGCCTGGCCACTCACTGCTGGCACTCCCTGGATGTTCAGCAAGGGGTCTGGCATGTGGCTGGGGAGCTGTGAGTGGCCACGGGATCCCATCCCAGATGGGCTCTCCCGCTGTCCCTCTGCCTCTGCACCAGCTCCTGCACCAGCTCCCACATGTCCCCAGGCTTTGTCCCCAGGGACTGGTGCATCCAGCCCCAGGACATCCCCTTTGCCCCCWAGGCTTAGCATGCTGGGGGAAGCAGAAATAAACAGGAAGGCAAAACATGAAAAACAAGAGGTTTTAATTCCAAAATTTGAAAGCCCCCGAGAGAACAGAGCCAGCCCCTGCTCAGTGTGGCCAAATGCTGGGAAGAGCYGGACACCTTGTGCAAGTTTAGCAAYGGAGCTGCYGGAGCAGCACCACGGTAGTGTCACAGGGGTGCCACAGCCACCATCCCAAAGCACCAGCCCAGGTCCCACAGCACGGGGAAAACCAGCACCAGAGTCATYGACAGAGGCAGGAGAGGACACACTGTGTCTCAGCAGCAAGTTATCCTGCAGGATGCAACGCCGTCCCTGAAAATACCATACAGGCATCGCTTCCCACCGGCCGAGCCGCCCATCCTTCCTGCCTCTGGTCACGGGAACTTGGGCCGGGGCGCAGTCGGGAACCCGCGGATGTTGAGCAGCAGGAGGAGGCCGAGGCAGACGGTGGCTGGGGCGCACATGGACAGYGGCTCCCGCAGCGCCAGCAGCGTGTAGATGGCACCTGGGCAAGAAGCAGAGCGTGGGAATGGGGATCTCTGGCTGAARGTGTCACAAGACCCCACAAAGGGCAGGGGGTACCCACTGGCTCTCACCGATCATGATGACGCTGAGGATGAAGTTGCTGATCTCCTGCAGTAGCTGGGGCCCAAATGCCAGCAGCAGCCCGGCCGTCACCTCCAGCCAGCCCACGGTCACCAGGTACCTGCCTGGCTCTGGCACRAACCCAAACTCCCTCAAGGGAAACACCTTGGCAAAGCGCACAAACTCCGATGCCTGGGAAGGGTGGGAGAGAAGCGAGGCAGCCCTGAGCCTGGGGCTGAGGGGATACAGCCCCTCCAGTGGGTCTGCTCTGCTCTGCCCTGTGCTCCAAGGGGATCAGCTCTGCACCCTAAATAACCCCGCACCCCAAGGGGATCAGCCCTGCACCCCAAAGTACTTGGCCCCGCAGCCCAGCACCCCAGCCTGCCTGTTCCCCCCAGAGGGATCAGCTCTGCACCCCAAATGACTCAATCCGTGCACCCCGAGTGACTCAGTCCTGCACCCCAAAGTGCCTCAATCCTGCACCCCGACTGACTCAATCCTGCACCCCAAAGTGCCTCAATCCGTGCACCCCGAGTGACTCAATCCTGCACCCCAAAGTGCCTCAATCCCGCACCCCAGCGCGATCAGCCCTGCACTCCAAGGGACTCTGGCAGACTCACAACGAAGGGCTCAGCCCTGTACCTCAAAGTGCTCCACCCTGAACCTCTGTTACCGCCAACCTGTTCATTCTTACTCAAGGCTTAGTCCCGCACATTTCCCCAGGAGCTCAGTCGCGCACGCCAACCTGTTCCCTTCCCCCGGAGCTCAGCCCTGCCCAAGTGCTCTTTGCCCCGCTGCCCCCAGCCTGCTCGTTCCSCCCGGGCTCGGCCCTGCGCCACCGGCTGCACTCACCATGTGCCGGTGCAGGTCGGCCGAGAACCAGTCCGAGACCTTCAGGACGCCCGCGAGGGAGAAGAAGATCCCAAGCAGGACACGGAGGGCGGTGAAGGCCGCCGCCATGGTGGGACGGGCGGGCCCGGGGGCGGAACGGGGCGGGACAGCCCAGCCCCGTCCCCGGCCCGGCCCAGCCCACTTCAGCCCCGTTCCCGGCCCCATTCCCAGCGCCGCTGCCAATCTGGTCCCACTCGGCTCTGGTTCCTGCCCGGTTGAGCCCGGCCCAGCTCCGGCCCGGCACGGACAGGGATCCCCCAGCCGTTGGATACGGTGCTGCCGTTGGGGCTGGGGGTGCTCACTTGCATCACCCCCTAGGCTGTGACACCCCCTCCAGCACCACCATCCTCCCACCAAAACAAAGCTGGAGGAAAAAGGGGAAACCCCCATCTCCGAAACAATCAAACCCCACAGCTTGGGCTTTGTGGGCTTTATGGGTGTGAGCCAGAGGAACAACTGCTGGCTTGGGGTGCGAGGGGCTTCGGGGAGCGCAGATCAGGCAGGGTGCAGGGAGTGCTGGCCACAGCTCCAGCGAACAGGCTGAGGARGCAGCAGCAGCAGCACGACAGCAGCAGCGAGGATGTTGTGGCCCCAGAGGCCGCTTTGGGGTGACGAAGGCAGCTGCGCTCCCCAGCCCTCTGCGTCACCGCCTGCGCTGCTCAGCCACCGCCACAGGCCGAGCCTCCCCGGAACGGCAGCCCGGGATTGGCGAGAGCCGGGCCCAGGGGAGCCGCAGGCGCTGACGTTTGTGCAATTCAAGTGGAAATATTTTTTTAATGCCAATAAATCATGAGAGCCCGAAGTGTTTTCCAGGCACGAGGAAGCACTGTGGGYCACAGAGAGCACAGCCAGCCTGGACCTGCACCAACCACAGCTCAGCCACCACCTTGCAGGGGCTGCCACAGGCACTGGTTGGACAGGGGCCAAGGGCAGTGACACTATTTTTACTCCCGGCAGCACATGATTCTTCAGCTGCTCACCATGATTTGGAGCTCCAGTTGGCACTCCATGGAATGACAGACAGTAACAGGCCAGGCAGCCTCCAGGCCTTCATGTTTTGGAAAGCTTATTTGAAAAGGAATTTACAAAAAATAAAGRCCAAACCCTGAAAAAGGGAGTGATGCAGCTCAGTGCACATGCAAGGCTGTGACAGCAGGGCAGGAGTCACTGCTCCCAGGATATTGTTCAAGTTTACCTGCTCTAATTATTAATTTTATTAATCACAGAAGCTACTTAATGAATTATTTGGTAGAACGAGATGTTGGCCCCAGCAGCCAGCAGACACCCGAGGTAGCCAACACCAGCACTAAGGAAAACCCATCCCCGCTCTCCAAGGACACAGGCTGTGGTTTGCTCATAGCAGGGAGCTGAGGTGAAGTTCAGCACATGGRATACTGGAACAGTCTCACACAAGGAAGCAGCCAGTGCTGCAACAGTGGAAATGAGGACAAGTTAATGGAAAATAACAGAATCTGAAGAAAAGAGGCTACACAAGAGGCAGTTGCTGTGAAGATGAAGACACTGAACCCCAGCCCCCTGCTGAAGAGCCACAAATCTTACTAAAGCCTTTTCAGGATCCAGACAATAGCCCAAAGTCATCAAATCAGAGTGAAACACCTCAGATTGCCCTCACGCAGCCCCTGATTGCCTGAGAGAACAGCAGCAGCTCCTAGTGCAGCACTAAACATTCCCTGCCACAAGCAGTCCCAGCCATTCAGATTCAGACCCCTCTCAAGCATTTCATACCACTTTGCCACATGAAATTCAATTTATTTTCATGTTTCTAATCTGCCAAAGCAGGTCCCAGCCAAATGTTCACTACTCTTCGTGCCACTGCAGGAGGAAACCCTGCTACAATGAGCAGAGCAGTGTGTATTTCAAGATATTAAACAGCTTGATATTTAAACAAAGGGTTATATTTAATGAATGACAGCATGAACCACGTATGTGCGCAGTACAGCTGCCAAAGCATCAAGTGAAGCAACACGAACCATGGCAATTCATGCTGCAAGAGCTAAACCCAGCACTCTTCTGGCTTCTAGAGAWCTCTTAACTTTAGTATCTCAGGATTAATTAGTACAGTCATCACCAAGAAAGCTATTAAAAACCAACCAGGCACAGGTAGACATTTGGAATTCTACAATACAAAACTATGTAACTTGTAACACTCAAGGTAAGTGTAAGGAAAAAGTGAAATTTCCAGAAATTCCTGTTGCTCAGACACAGCCATACCACTCCACAGTGTGCTCACTGAATACCCTCCAAAATAAATCAGAAGTAATTTATAAAAATATTTAAATATTTTATTTTTAAGAGCTGTATGTTCCTGGTTCCTCTTCATTGCACTCAGACTTCTTTTTCTGCAAGTGCAAAGCACACCATTAGAAAGATTGTAAAAGAAAGATAGAAAACAACAGTAGAAACTACAAGACATGGAATCACCATTCAGAATCACAGGCAATGTGACTACCAAATATTCTCAAGTACTCCAACAGATTTGAGGTTAAATGAACAGAATTCATATTATTTCTAAGTTCAGAAATGGCTTTTGTGTTTTCCTACCCCAGAGCAAGGAGCAGCAGTGACAAACCACGCAGGATTCAATAGGAATTCACCAACTGATTCATACTGGCTTCACACCTTACACATCTACCGTTACTTACCTGTGACTCCCSAGTTAAGGTACTCAGCATGTTGCTCCTCAAACAAGATTTTAAATATCTGAAGTTTCCCCTTGTAGTTTAGTGGCAAATTAGAGGGAAAATGTCATTAATTCCATCTCTGCAAGACGGTTTATTTTCCTGAACCATTTGCTGTGCTCCTGTACATGCTGATTTGTACACCAGGTTATTTTTTAAATTCAATGTTTGAAGTATTTCAGCAAAATTGCTTTTTAACAAGGTTTAGTTGAATTAACATCTGTGAAGCAGCTGCTCTATTCTCCTTTTCCCAGGCTAACAATCACCAACTGCAGCCTGAGTGCAGGAATGGTCATTTCTTGTTTGACCACCTGCAGCATGTAAAGGACAAAATTCATTCACTGCTGCAGGGCTGAAAAGCCTCCAATARCTGTTATATTTTGGGTATACAAAAGCAAGATTCAGAAAGTTTATACRAAATTGAGATTAATCACACTTTTCAGGCAGGAATTACACAACCCAGTACAGGGTGACAGGCTACCAAGCCCTCATAGCAGTGTAAGAACACCGACTACTTACTTGTCCACCTGTTCCCTTGGTCTCTCCAYACACCACTGGGCACTGTCCTGGATGTGCTCATGCTCGACTCCTCAACTGGAAAAAAATTCCCAAGTTATTATACCTGCAGTGTTTTTGAAATCTTTTGTACAAACCCACGTCTAGGAAGGTATTTTTAGCTGCTGCTGTCAAGATATCAAGCCCAGATATAGTCGGGGTGCTCAAGCCCACAGCGTGACARCAAGGACTAAGTTTTACCCTACATATTTAATGGATTCACTCATTCCAACTTCTCAATGTTCTCCAATTTAAAGGTACTGAGTGACTGAATACCAAATGTCCAGAAACCTGTATTATTTCACCCAGGACAAAAAAAGTGATACTTACTTCCCATGGATGAGCACTCTGGTGTCACTCAGCTTTTATCTTCACCTAAAGGATAACAACTGAAGTTATTGGAAGTCATACACAGCAAATTGTGACCATTTCAAAACTAACTTAAAAATAMGGTTTTAACATACATGGACTGATTAGTTATGAGGGGGAACTTATCAATTATTCCAAACTATTACATGGAAGAGTAAGGGGCAGAAATAGGCTAGCCTAAACACTCAAGAGCTGAAGGAATATGCAGGCAGCTGCCTGAAGAACTGCACCCTGAGCACAAACCRTAACCCCAGTCTGAGCACAGTGAGGTTTGATTGCAGCCAGAGGTATACTATCCCTTATGTGAAGGCATTAATTTTGTCAGCTACTTCAACTCTATGACCCTATTTGTYTCCTGTAGCAATGCCCTCTTCTTCCCCTTCCTGAGGGAGTGCGTGGCCCTGYTCTCTTGGAGCCCTTGGGTTCTCTWGTCCTACAAGTGCTTCAGAAGCCAAAGGCAGACACTAGAGGTTGGCACTGTCACTGCTTTTATACTCAGCAAGGTTCTGTCCTCCCTCCTCAAGACCCACCCCCCTTTACTGTATCTGAGGGCAGCCTGCAATGGTGAGAGCTGGAGATGCMCAGCTCCAGTTGGGAGGCAGATCCCACCATGGGCACAGCATAATCTGACCAGGCAGGGACAACTTCAAGCTTAGTCTCTAACCCACCACCTGGGTTTCCTCACGGGAGCAGGAGTTATGCACGTTTTGTTTTCTCTGCCATAGCAACAAACACCATGCATAAGGGATATTATATCTTTGTGCATCCTTTGAAAACTGCAGATTCTCTGCTAGCCACACTCCTCCCAGCCCTCCCCAGTTAGCCTTTCAGTACTGGTGTTCAGAAGCAACATTTATAGAGATGGGGTGTTCACAGACCACTGCGGGATTGCACAGCCAAATCCTAAYGTGTCAATCATTACCTAGCAGCAATGACACAGGTGGGAGAAGGCCAATCCTCCCATTTTTCCTTTTCCAGGCAGCAGCTATTTAACAGCCCCACTAGCTGGTATGAAGAGTGAAAAAAATCTGAAGCTAATTAGCTGTTTCCAAACTTGCTAGTAGTGGAAGAAGCCAAGTGATTCCCCAGAGCAGCATACTTGGATGCATCCTTCCCAACATGCTCAGCCTCACTGAACATAATGGAACAGAACACTGGCCTTCCTGATCATGTCACTGCAGCTGGCAATGATTAACAGAGACATGCAACCCCATTACTGCTCCAGTCCTAAAACTACTCACAGGCCTCAGTGTTTAGCTATGGGGAGAACTGCAAGCAAATCAACACTTTGTATGCTTAATGTTACAATAAAGCCCCATCCACGCTGTGCTGTGCTCTCCTGCCAGCATCAGGCTCTGCTCGGAGGGCCTAGCAGTACGCAGATGTATTCTGACACCACACTTCTGAGCTTCAGGTAAGCTTTTGAGAAAAAGTGTATTTCACACACAGATAAAACCAAGATGAAACACAATGCAAGCACTTGAATGTCATTTCTTGTACC